ATTTTGTTAGTCTTTAAAACTGTAGTTTTCTCTCCCATCTCCCCTCCCCCTTTCTGCCTGCAGAGTGTAACAAAAGCTGAGCAAATGTATCACGACAGGAAACTTCTTAAAATGTTGTTCTCCTCCTAAACCTTCCCCGGCAAGCAGGGCTTTAACCTCACTTCAAATGCATCCTTTCAACATGCCAGAAAACTGCAGATCAATACAAAAGGTAAGAGATTTTTTTTAAAAACACTTCAGAACTCCTTTGCTTTTTGCCTATTCTTCCCTGTCAGGTGTCCAGTTCAATGATTTGCCAAATCATTGTAACAAAGACACAGCCAAATGAATACTAAATCATTATAATTTTCCACATCATGAGTCTGACAAAGATGACATCTACAGATTACTTTTGATATCTTGACAGCTATACTTTTCAGAACACCTCATTTCTGCCATGGATTTAGCACTGGTAAGACCAGCCTGTTGGTAAGCCCTTCAGTTTGGAGAATTCCAGTGGAAATGTTCAATGCACAAATAATTAGCCAGAATAGTCCACTGTCAAAGAACAACAGTAGATTTCACTTCCTTTATTGATTCTGACTCCATACTTCAGAGGCTGCACTGCTTACTTTTTTTGCATAGAGTTATTTGCTTCCAACTGTTCTTAATGACCCGTAACTTTTAGAGGTACCTACATGACAGATTGTTCCAAACATCATTTTGGGGGAATAGAGACCAGGCCCTAGTGCTGGAGCTCTTTTGCATCAATAAACTGTTAGGACCAGGGGCTTTATTCTTGCAGATCAGGGTCCTTGCCTTAAAAAAGTTAGGACAATTATCTTTCAACAATGGTTATCAATAATAACAATTAATATATCATTAACCAATTCAATTTTTAATCCAATGAGGTAATCTTTAAAGAGGTAATTTGTTGCAGAGGCTTACAGCAAGAGGAATGAGTAGAGAGTGCAAAAGATGCTTTATGTGAGAAGCGGGCATGAAAACTAGAGATGAGAGCAGGAAGGTGACAAATACATGTACAGGGACAGGATAAGTAAAGTGAGTGTAATAATGGCTTTTCTCTGGTGATGGCATGACTATAGAAAAGTTCCCAGATGTAAATATAACAAAAAAAACTTAACTAATTCATCCCATGACACATCCTTTGTTTGTGCTACTAATTTGGATCTCTCCATCATTTTTTATCTCTGGCTGCTAGAAATCTTTCACACCAACATGATTGTCCCATGCCTAACATAATTTCTACAGTTGTTATTCTGTCCTCTGAACTATTTCTATTGTTTTGAATACAGACTCCTGTATGTATTAATGTAGATGTATTATATAGGTGGTACAGCCCTCATTCACTGAAGTACTTCTTTGAAAAAATAGCTCAGCACCAATCCAGCTTAGCTAACTTACTGGGGATTCCCCTGGCACAGTAGGATCCCCAGAAGTCATGAGGGAGGACATTTGCTCCTCTGTCACACCTTCTGGCTGCTGCTTGGTTTTGGCAGGAAGATATGCGTAGTTGGAGCACAATGACACCCAAGAGATGGTGTTGGCAACAGATGCACAGCTGTTGGAGAAAGCTCATGTTGGGTGAGTCTGGGGGTTTGCTTTGAATCTTGGGTGGGGGGGGAGGAGTGTTGTATTGGGATATGAATTAGAATAACCCTGAATTTGCACTCGTCGGTGCTTGTGGTAGAGCCTTGGCCCAGTGGTTAAAGAGTAGGTCTTCTCTTTCCCATACAGATACAGAGCAATTAATATCATGCTATAATGGCTTACTCACCCTCTCCTCCCTATGATCTGAATAATTTGCCTTGATTGTTCATCTCCCTAAGTGATTCTGGGGAAAAGCTAGATGAGCTTTCCTTTGGGGCAAAGTACTTAAGTACTTCAGATTTTTTTAGTCTGAATCCTTTCTTCAGTCTGTTCAGGCAGAACCAAATGTCTAATTTAGTGTTTCTATATGTGTCAGACACAGATGTGTTTTGTTAGACATGTAAATATTTATGCTTTCAAGTATTTTGTACCTTTAAAGTTTTGAGGGTTTTTTTTTAGCTTAGTCCTTTTTTTTTTTTTTTACTTTTTTCCCTCACTAGTATAATAACACCACTTCCTAAACCCTGTCCTTTTCCTAGATACTGACCACATCATCTCTGGGTGCTACTCCACTAATAAAACAAAGACATGTGGATTATGGGATCCTTTATAGACCTTCATGGAACTCATCTGGCCCAGTTGGCAGGGGTCATGTAAACCTTCTCCATCCGTTACAGTTTGTGTGGTTTCACACCCAACAAATGTCAAAGCAGAACTCAGCTGCAACTGCCAAGTTTTGTCTGTGTTTGGGTTAAGCCATAAAAGAACCCACCAAATTCCACATCAGTCCTTTCAGAGTTGCAAGAAACCACCCAGGTTCAGTGAAGAGGTCAAAAATCTGGTGAACATTTGGTAAATATGGCCTGAACAGTGGGACAAGAATACCCTGTTTTTTTCAAACTTTGGGTAATCTGACCTGCCTAATAGCTGGTCCATCCTGATGCCAAACAATTTTTGCTCCCTGTAGCTCTTATTTTGTATAGAAATGTTCAGAATGAAAGTACAGCCACAACTTTTACTGCTCTTTAGGCATTTGGACTGCGCTCACTTTCAAGGCTTCTGAGGATGAAAAGAGTCTCCCAGTGGTGAAGAGGATTACTAGTCATGAGTACAAGGCCAGAGCTGATGAGGTGTCACAAGATTCTAGCCTGAAGAGAAAAGCAGGAGTGGTGAAAGCCTTTTCACCAGGAAGCTTAGTGATGACACCAACTCTGGTACAACCCTCCAGAGTGTGCCTCTTCAAGGATATAAGTGATCTCACAGAAGTTAAGAGGACTGCCTTCCAGTACCTGAAGGGGATCTACAAGAAAGCTGGGGAGGGACTTTTTACAAGGGCAGGTAGTGACAGAACAAGGGGTAATGGCTTTAAACTGGAAGAGGGTAGGTTTAGATTAGACATTAGGAAGAAATTCTTCATTGTGAGAGTGGTCAGACACTGGAACAGGTTGCCCAGAGAAGTTGTGGATGCCACCTCTGTGGAAGTTTTCAAAGCCAGGTTGGATGAGGCTTTGAGCAACCTGGTCTAGTGGAAGGTGTCCCTGCTGATGGCAGGGAGGTTGGAACTAGATGATCTTTAAAGTCTCTTCCAACCCAAACCATTCTCTGATTCTCTGATTCTATGACTGACTTGTGTAAGAGTCACAGTGCGCCTGCAGGCTTTGGCAGATCAAGACAACATAGCATGGAGAAGTATAACAGTAGCATGCTTGGCAGCTGTGTATTTTCTGCCAGCAACATCATTTTGGACATCAACATAAGACAAACAAGAGTTAAGACCAACCAACAAGGATCAAACTTGTGCTTCTAATAGTCAAGACAAGTGACTAGATGTTTTTTTGGTTCATTTAAACTTGAAGGTAAAAGTCAAATGTTAGAGTATTTCCTGTATATGGTGTCTTGAGGATGTTTAATGCCTTCCATGTACACTCTTTTTAAGACAGAAAAGTTAGGCAGGAAGTATTATCTATACAGAATTAGAAATGTCTTAGGGCAAATGTGGGAAGAGACACTGATGAGCCAGTTCCTCACCACCAGCTTTTCAGCATCAAAACCAAATTCTACCAATTTTTTTTCTGAAGTTCAAAAAGTTCAGACTTTTCTTTCAATATTAATTTGGTTTACTAGGTCTTTTTATTAGTAGTTTTACCCCTCTCCACATCAGTTCCCCTAATGCCAATGGTTTTACTCAATTACAACACTTTAAAGCTAGGCCACTGTGCCTTTCAAAACCCCAGACTGCAGCCAGATTCTCAGACTTGCATGTTCCTAGAAAAAATATTCACTTCCATCATTGACAGAAGCATAACTCAGCTTTTGGCATTCATTTCACAAAAGTGTTGGGAAAAAAAGCCAAAGCCAGTAACAACCAAAGTACCATATAAGTCGTTTCTTCTTTGCCTAGAGCGGATGAAATGTTATGCCATTCTTTCACACATTTTTTATGAGATCTTATGTCTGACCACATTCAGTTGTGTTGGAGGCACAGGACTCACCCAAACCACTGAATTCAAGAAAGAGGTGTCACCCAAAGGAGAATTGGACACAAGAACAGGCTGCAACCCCACTGAGAAGCTGAGTGGTCTTTGTGAGAGCCACGCAGCCCAAAATGTTATCCCAACACTGAATAGTAGACAGCACAGAGGATGATGAGTGGGCAGCCCTTATAGGAGAGAGGGAAGGTCAGGAATTGGCTAAGCATACTCATCTGGGTGATGAGGAAAATAATTATCTCAGTGCTGGAAAAAATTTGCATAATATCCCCAATGAAACAATATCAGACATAAGGTAAATAGAAATTGAACAATTTAACTTCTGCCGGCTAACAGTTTGTCAGGCCAAGGTCCTGTATCATTTTCTTTGAATACATGTCCTGCCTCAAATCACTTGCAGTATTTTCTTTACTATATAAAATGGATATGTATCACTGCTGTATATTGGAGGACTGGTGTCACATGCACTGTGCTTCCATCAGTTAATTGACTCTCCTATTACTTAAGTTTTTGGGAAGTCTGCAGAGGTTTTATTGGAGTTTTAGTTCCCTTTTGATTGGTCATAACATGCACCATGGTTATCGAGGCAACTTCTAACATGATGACAACTGGAAATATTTTTTCATGGGGTGTGATGGCTACATCCTTGGATGCCTGCACAGGCATCTCAGTCATTGCTGGGTATGAAGTTGCAGAGATATAAATGATTTCATTTAGAGATGATTAGAGATCTCCTGTCTTTTGCCAGTTACTTTTCAATGAGTGCAAATGTACAGACCACAGTTATGGGAGCATCACTGTTGAACTCCAGTAGGCAAATACCAGAAGGATATAAAAACCTTTTCAGGACCATAGTGAGAAAGCTAAAAGAAAAAGTGGACCCAGCATATCACTTCAGCACCATATTAGAGACACCCTTACCTACTCGAAGCTCTTGTCCAAAGACTGTTTTCTCTCCCAGTGCGGAGCAGTTCCACCTCCCATACCGAAACTGGTACTGGCACTCATTGATTCCCATTTGTGCCCCTTCCCCGATCACAATGATGGCATCAGGGCGGCTCTGGCAGATCGCTCGCTGCCGAGGGGCCAGGCCTGGGATTTTGTTGCAGATGATATTAGCTCCTAAAGCCACCACAGATGACAAAGCTCTGAAGAAGAAAAAGCAGAAAGACACATTATAACCAAATTGAGACAATTAATTGCTTTTGCCATGTGCTGCCCTGTAGCAGACAAGGTGCTGACCAAAAAGGGAAGGTTTGGAAGCTGAGTTCCTATAATTATGCAAACTTATCCCAACCTTTCTGGTTTAGCAATTGAGGTTGGAAATCTTGCAGTAATTCCTGATCTGATTTGTGCCAGAAACAACAAACAAATGGAATTTTGGCACTTTTGCTTCCAGTCCTACACACAGCCATCAGCTGATGAGGTGTGGAAAGCAAGACATATTTGAAAGTAAAAAAAAAATGATAATTGATGGTCTGTGAATCTTTGGAGCTCATGGCTCCTTTGAATGGCCTGTGTAGGTTCAAGCTCACTGTTTTAGTTACTGCAGCCAGTTCATCCATCCCTTGTTTGAAACCATTGAGCACAATTTAGATAATTACTTGACGCTACCAGCCCTCTTGCCCGTTATTGCGCTCATAGTACTGAGTGATTAATGAAAGTTCACCAGCATACTTTTAGACCTGGCAAATATCATGGAGCACATACGAGTGATCCTTAATATGTGCCATCCAGACTAGAACCATTTGTAGTTCTCATTCTTCAAGTATAATTTCAGAATTCATTATAGAGTTTGCATATAACTTGCACTTGCCATATGTTTTCACTTTAATGCATTTATTTTTCATTTTTTAGCTCACTTTTCAACATCTTTACAGGCTCAGTTTTCAACATCTTTACAAGCTACATTTCATAATATTTTGAAAAAGAAGACAACATGGGTACACGTTCAGTGATGCCTCAGGTCACATCTACTGAGCAGCAGTCAGGCCCATGCTGGGATGCTCAGCTGGCGCTGGACAAGTCACCAAGAGCAAAGAGAGCAGTATAGCTGCATTAGCAAAGCAAGCCTTGCTCGGCATTGTGTCTTGGACCCTGAGACAGCTATACAACCAAAGCCTGGAAAAGCACCTGCCACGCTGCACATCTGGCTGTCCTTCTCCTCAGTTGGCAAACTGGGGCACCACGCGTATCACTGCTTCTCGGCACCTGCAAGGAAGTATCTCCACAAACCCTCTCCTCTCTATAGCTTGTCCCAGCCTGGTGTTGGATCATACAGGTAATTTCATTTTCCCATCAAATGCTGTTGTTGACTGCCTCTGAAATGTAAAGATGCCTGCCCAGATCATGCTGCAGCATCTTGGGTTTAAGTGGAGTTTCATAGTAACAGAAGTCACTGTATATAAATACTTTAGTAACGGGATACAGGCTGCCTTCCCCATTACCTTCCTCTCCACCTTGAACATTGACTTAAGCCTTTCTTCTTAGTGTTAAAAATTTCCCACTGGAAATACCACTTTTGGAAAATGCTGACTAAACAATATTGAAGAATTTTATAGGAATGTATCAACTTCATCACAAAAGTAACAGCAAAATTACATAAATGTTGCATTTCAACGAAATCAGAGTGTTTCATTTTGCCATTTCAATAAACTACAGTGAAGCCAGAGCAAAAAGGGTGAAATGGAGAACTCCTCCCTGGCCAAAATTAAATAACACTTTTACTGTAGAATGGAAATTCCATGGTGATTCACCCTGCCTTTAATAGGTATTTGTGCATCTTTTCCAAAGTTAATAATCCATGAGAAATTCACCAATTGTGGGGTTTTTTATTTATGGCTTGGTGGAGTTTTATAGATACAGAGACAAGGTATTGCAAACACAGAGCATGCATGCCATGTGGTACTACCTCTTAAAGAAAAATAAGAACAAAATGTATTTGCAGCTCCAACCACTCACAGTGTTCGGAGCAGAAGCGCTCAGACCTGTAGCTCTAATTCCTGTTCCTCTGGGCACTGAAAAACAAAGCTGGAGCATCAATTGGAACCAACCAGCAAGTCCCCAAGATTCATGAAGGTTTTGAGCTAAGGTTTTGTTTCTGGCTCACCTCTACTTAAACAACTGAATAAAATATTTAAATTATGATGTCTTTAAATTAGGACTTTCCAAGAGATATGACAATCTTTAAAAAACATTATGAGTTTGATGTAGAGATAATAAGATTCTCTGACCTTTACAATGGCACTTTATATATTAATTTATGGTTTCAAAAGTTAACGAAAATCATAGGGAAAAGTATCAATATTTATTTTTTTTTTAAATCAGGCACTTCTCAATACTGAAAAGTAAAAGTGTTTTTTTTTTCTTTCATAGCTCATGGAGCTTTTATCTCTCTGACTTCAGTGACTTTCCACATCAAGTAGGGTGTACATTCTGAAAATGTTGCAGTAAAATGCAAAGAAAAATATTTTTCCTTTACAGCTGATGTGTTGTATTCAGAAACATATGTTCTTTGATGATTCTAAGATGCCAGGACCCTTTCCCAAATCACATTAGGATCCAGGTCTGGCCCTTCCATGGTTTTAAAGTTACAACAAGGGAAAGGTATCTTGTACGGAGTAAGTAACCTGAAGATGCCAGGGGGACAGGGGACTCTGCCATCACACTTTAGTCTGTGGTTCTTCTACTTAAGGGAGGATGAAGGGAACCCAGGTCAACCACTCGGGATGCACAGGCAGTGGGTCAGCTGAGGAAAGGATGAATTTCTACAGCTGTCCTTCAGAGCAGAGCAACAGCCAGGGCTCTCTGGCAGCAATACCTCTCCCGCTCGGCATATGCAGCAGTTCTCCAGGTGCCTCTCAGGCTGTGCCCCATCCTTACCCCATCACCTCCACCTGGATTTGCCTGGTTCCCTGGGACAGAGCAGGTGCCCAAGCATCCTGCAGGACCTCCCTGTCTGGTAACCCATTTCCCTTGCAGTAGGAGCTGCTTCAGACACTGACCCTTCTAGGAAAACCTAATCCTGAAGGTATCCAGGGTCGGGTCCTAAGAAACAGACATGCATAAGCATTTAAAATTTAAGTTGATGCTTGACACACATGCACAAGACACACAGTTCTGGTACCCGGGCTGCCTGACAGTCATTGACTTCCTGAGGCTACACAACCAACTTACTGATAAAAATTATATCTAAAAATTATTGGGATATGATATAAATAATTTTTTAAAAATAACAAATATAAATACTGATAAAGGCTATGAGATAACTTTCTGACATCTTTTTAAAAGTGCTGAGCCTGCACAGTTTCCACTAACTATTATCTCATATTGAGCAGCAAAAACTTGCGACTTTCAAAATGAAGGAAAGCAAGAAAGAGTTGGCTACAGCATCTACCCCATTTATAATTTTCAGTTTAGTTGCTTCCTTCATAAACATTGCTACTGTCTCATAATTAGTTTAAAGAGTGTATTCTTTGGTCTCCCATTGTTTCTGGAGCAGGTCTTGTCAAAGTATTTTAATACAATGGGTCAGTTTATTCATCCAGAAAATAAGCATGATCATATCTGCCTCAGAAGGTATTGTGAGGATATCCTAATTACTATATGTTTGTAAAGTGCTTTAAGACATTCCTCATTAAAAGAATTACACTGCAATTATTGGAGGTGGAGGGGGTCTTAGTTTTTTTATTATGACTTCCAGGGACTTCCCCCTCTCTGGACAGAATTTACCAGCATATTCCCTCAGACTTGTTTAGCCTACTTTTAAATTGTTACTATAATTTCAGTGCCAAAAGAAATGCTGAATCATGAAACTGAGGTTTTGGAAAAATTTATTTATATTAAAGAAATGCACCCAACAGCATTTCAAGCTTCCTCTCTGCTATTTCTTGCGGCATCCCTCAGTTTGTGTGCCCATCACACACTCAGGAGGGTTGTGCCGTGCTCTGCCCCTTGGCAGGTTGAAGGCTATGTATATTTTTTTACTAGATGGAGAAAGTTTCACTTTATAGCTGTCAAAAGGCAAATCCCCATGCCACATTTTGGCATCTTCTCCCATCTAATCTTTCTCTGTGGTGCAAACTTCCTTGATTCTTATCACAAGGAAATCCTGAGTGTAGTGTTTTGTTAAGATTTCTGGTGCAGTTTACGGTAATTGTAACCATCCTGCACCACAACAGCCCATGCACCCCCCAGAGTTTTATGCTGGGTCATCCACAGGGGTTATCTAATTAAACATCATCCACATGGGTTATCCAACTAAACAGCATTAGTGGAATAGTATCACATTTCCTAAGCAATTAACAGTAGTGTCTGGCATATAGAGAGTTGTCAATCGTTCATTAATCCAAGGGAAATGCTAGCACTGAAACTGAGCAATAGTTATAAAGAGTTACATCAAAATTTTTTTAAAAACCCAACACTGATCTGGGCTTGGATAGCTCAAACTCCAACAAACTAAACCCGAGGAGTGATGTTTTGGAAGGCCTGGTTTCTGTATCAGAATCCTGAAACACTGAGTTTTTCATTCTTTGAAAAAGTAACTATGACCACAGTCATAGAAAGTAGAAGTTCATGGCAACAGGAGACAAGTTTCAGCTTATTTTCAGAAATATTCTTGTTTAATTATGCAAAGACAGATGACTACTGTTACAAAAAAAAAAAAAAAAAAAAAAAAGAGAAAGAAAATTCTCCCTAAAAATATATTTCCTATGATGGTTGTGTCTTCTTTCTGGGACCTAAACAGCTTTCCTTCTCACCAAGTTATGTGGAAAATTGAAAGGCTGCAACCATGAAAATTACTATATATTCTAAGCAATACATAAAAGTAAAGAACTTTGAAAACACTTCAGAAATTAAACACTAAGGCCTAAAATCATGTGACTTTTAAAACATAAAATTTATTGCAGTATCACTTGTCAAAAATGTACTCCTCATTCATAATTTATTTTCTTGAGGGTCTTTAACCCTTTGATTAAAAAAAAAAAAAAAAAAAAAAAAAAGAGCCCTAAAAATTCTTCACTAGCAACCTTTTCTCCCTAGGTAAATAATATTTTATTGTAGGCCAGGGGTGGCTTCAGGAGCTACATCTTCTCCTCTGATAGCCTCTCTCATTTGTATTCCTGACTGCACAGCAGCACAG